TTCCCAGATTCTACCCAGCAGTCTTCCTGTCTTCAGTGTCTAGCAGTCCGAAACCATCACCTTCCCTACCCTCATCAGCCGTCTTCCATCCCCCCTCTGGGGCCTAACAGGGCAAAACAGCCACCTTCTCTTCCCTTTCCAGCCCATTCCCAGCCATCTTCCATCTCTCCTGGGGCCAAGCAGGCTGAAACCATCAACTTATCTTTCCTTCCCAGACCTTCCCAGCCATCTTCCATCTCCCCTGGGGCCAAGCAGGCCGAAGCCACCACCTTTCCTTCCCTTCCCAGACCCTTCCCAGCCGTCTTCCATTCCCCCCAGGGCACCGCCACCTTCCCTTCCCCAATTTTCTGGAGGATAGCTATTTTAGGCACATACAGCAATGTCAACAAATGATCTCGTGGAATACTAAATTTTGTTTTTTGCACGATTGTTAATTTCAAATCATATAACTGTCATGGCCATCTGTTTCTCCAGGTGTTCTTCATAATATTCCAAGAAGTTTAAGACTATCCTTATATTATTCTTCATCTGTCTTTTTGGAAGAAACCCAGACTGATCTTGATGTATCAAGTGGGTTAAAATTCTTTTCATTCTAGTTGCCAAGATGGTCGCATATATTTTGTAGTCCACATTCAGTAATGAAATTGGCCTATAATTTTGTATTTCTTTACCTTCCGTGTTTTCTTTATGTATAAGAGAGATTATCGCTTCAGTCCATGTTGCTGGTTTTTTCCCCTCTTCTTCGATACATTCTAGCAGCTTCTTAAATGGCTGAAGTAACACCTCTTCCAGTTCTTTATAATATTCCGCTGATAGCCCGTCCGGGCCTGGTGCTTTCCCATTTTTTGTTTTTTAAGGGCTTCCATAATTTCTGCATGTGTTATAGGCTCATTTAAGGACTGAATTTGTTCTTTAGTCAATTTCATTTTGTTATGCTTTAATATATATTCTTCCTGGGTTCCTCTATCCACTTCTTTTGTATAGCTTCCGATAGAAATCTTCAGCAATTTTTAAAAATTTCTTCCTGTTTAAATTTGTCTATTCCCCTTTCATCTTTCAAAGAAGACCAAAATACTTACTTAAGAAAACAAGAACGACAGGAGCTAATAGAAAAGACAAACTTCCAAGAAGGAAAGAAAATTCGATATCTAGGGATACAAATTACAAAGAAGACAAGCAGATTGTTTAAAAATAATTGCATGAAATTAATGAAGGAGATACAGAACAATTTGGAGAAATGGGATAAATTACAACTATCGTTGCTGGGAAGAATTGCGACGATCAAAATGAGCATCTTGCCAAAAATCTTATTCTTATTTCAGTCAATTCCTATCATACTAAAACAGTCCTTTTTCAAAGAACTTAACAAGATAATCATGAGATTTATATGGCAAGGCAAAAAACCAAGAATTAAAATTAAGGCA